AAGGAAGGATTGCGATCAAAGTAGTGGTATTCCTACATTACGAATGCTCTGCAATTGCATTAGAAGTGAGAGTGGAGGAGCAAATCCTGCCTTAGCTGATAAAATAGCTGAAGAATATTCTAAAAGCAGTGAGCGGCAGCCTTTATCACCTGTAGACTCTAATTCATCTTCAAGAGGTATATATAAAAATAAATTTTTTGCAATTTTATGATTAATTTTTATTAATTTTATAGAAGTTATGCCAAATACAGAATTACAGGCACCTCTTACTTCACCTGATACTAAAGCTACATATGCTAGTGGAAAATCAAAAGAGTTTCCTGTTAATGACATATTGAAGCAGATTGATGAGCTACAAAGGTTGTATGCTTCTAAATTTTATAAAACCAAAGAAGCATTTCTCTCCCTTAAAAAAAGTGCCCTTTCTAAAATTATTGATTATATTCAGTGTCACATCATTAATCTACTGAGTCCACGTTTTCGAAAGCCACAGTTCATTGATCAATTACGAAAAGAGTACGACAAAGTTAAATCGATGAATCAGTTATTCAGAGTACTAGAGAAGCGTGTCTCCTGGTTTAATTTTGACTTCGTTGTCCTATTGGTCCAAGTTTTCATAGCAGATAGAGAAGTACAGCGAATTTGGTCAACTTACTCCAGTTTGCTAAAAGATTATTTTAAGAATAATAATGATCGAGCAATTCAAGTCGTGAATGGTGTTGAGTTTGGTATACTAGATGCTCCTGGTACTCAAGTCATGATAGCAAAAGTTGCTGATGATGATTACACTTTGAATGATTTATATTTCTTCCACAGTGCAATTGCCAAGGCACTAGCAATTCCAGAATACAAATTCTATTTTTGTGAAATCGATGATGGTTGCATGGAATTAAAATACTCCATTCCTGATTTCTTATATTCAATTCTTTTTCCACTTACCAATCAACAGTGTCATTCATTGGCTGAAATTGGTATTATTAAAATGAGCTGTAATGAACATGTACATGAAATGGAGCAGGTAAATAAAATAAGGGTTTTGAAAGTTTGCATCATTGACAACTAGTTTTTATAATTATAGTTACCAGAGAACAAATTAAAAAAGCTCTCTCACTTTGCTATTGGTAATTGAACAATAATTTACTGTATTAGTTTATTTTTTGTTCAGATATTAATGATCCTTTGTGGTATGAGAATACCAGCACTCCGCTCGTTGAAGCATGTTGGAGAGGATTAAAAGATGAAGTACAATGGTTA